TTCTTTCTTTCTCTTTCTTTTTCTTTTCTTTTCTTTCTTCCTTCCTTCCTTCCTTCCTTCCTTTCTTTCTTTCTTTCTTTCTTTCTTTCTTTCTTTCTTTCTTTCTTTCTTTTCTTTCTCTTTCTTTCTTTCTTCCTTTCTTCCTTCCTTCCTTCCTTCCTTCCTTCCTTCCTTCCTTCCTTCCTTCCTTCCTTCCTTCCTTCCTTCCTTCCTTCCTTTCCTTTCCTTTCCTTTCTCTTTCTTTCGAAAAATAAATACAGAAAAGGACAGAGGGTAATGTAGCAAATAGCCATGCACTCACTCACCAGCCTCAGGGAGCCCCCGTTTGCGCCTGTGGGATCAGGGATGGCCTCCTTGGCCAAGGCCCCTGTCCCTTCTTTGGGGCAGGTGGGTCGCCCCGCTCTGAGAATAAATCAGATAGCACCTGAAACCGATGCCTAATAAACAGGGTGAAATTAACAGCCATGTTTCCAACCTGGAGACTTTCAAGACCAAGCTTTCATGTCAAGGAAACCCAGGAACCACTCAGGGACTTGGGCTTAACTACAATTTGAAGGCTGTCAGAGATATTTACGGAGTCTCGGGCTTCTGGAAAAATTCCTTCATTTACCAAAAGAGTTAGATCATGAAGAAAGCCCTGGGGGTGCTGTTTACTCGGCCATACCAATCCCATGAAGCCCGTGGAACATTTGGGGCCCGGGCCGTGTTTTCGCTGGAGCAGGTTCAATGTCTCCCGCTGCCGTCCCGCCGCGTGGACTCTGGCCAAGGCCCCATTTGCTGCTCCTGAGGCTCTTCCAGACACTGTCGGTGGAAATTACTCTCCGGGTTCAACGCCCAAGCAAGGCTTGGCCACGGCCGGGGCTGGTACCTGGGAATTTTGTTAGTCCATCTATCAGGGGGTGTTTTGTTCAGGCGTCACGTTTTTCTGCCTCAAGTTAGCAGGAATAACATCTCCGTGAGAGGCTTGGTAACCTGATGCCGTCATGTTCCGAGTGGAATGTGCCCAGGGAGCTGTGGGGGTTTGCAAAGAAAATAATTTGCCTTTTGGTTCAAAGGCGCTGTTGCCCTAGAAGCAGATCCCTTTTCTGTGCACCTGTGGGAGGAATTGGCCTGTATTTGGACTAACGGGGTCAGGGGTCTCGTATAAGGGGTAAGGAAATGCCACCTTCCTTCATAAAAAAAGAACACACGGACCCTCCAAAGCTTTCACGGGAAGGAGGCCTTCCCCGAGGGAAAGGGTGCCCCGACCACAGCTCCTCCGTGTTTCCGAGACTCTCCTCGGACCCCTGAGTCTCTGGCTGGTTTACATCTGCCACCCTCACTTGCCCCCAATCCTGTCTCCTATGTGAACACCCCATTCATTGTACCCAGAAGTAGAGCCCACCTGTTCCAATAGCCAAAAGCCCCACTACCAAAAGGTAAACTGAGAATTCGTGCTGGGGTGAGGGCGTATTACAAGTGCACATGTCTGGAGCCCATTCCCTAAGATTCTGCACAGTAAGTTCTAATCATCCCGCATTGAAGGAGCTATTATCAAGCTGGTTTGGTCAACAGCGACCTTTCTTCAGCAAAGTGTTACCTCAAACCCGAAAGAAAGGCCAGTAAGAGCTGAGCCTCTCTGATCAAAGGGGGTTGTGGGGGATCAGACTCCTTCTCAGCACCCCTGGGTCCCCATAGGACCCTGAAGCTGCTCTGCTCCGGTCTAGGATTCCAGGAAACACAGTCTGGAGATCCATGTGCTGGAGCATCTGGCTGACAGGTTCCAGGCAGCCCCGGGAGCTCCAGGCCACACGTCCAGCCAGACTCCTGGTGGACACAGGTCACCTAGACAGTCAATCTCTCTGCATCCAGGCCCACAGAAGAAACCCTGGGCAGCCTCCAGCTTTTCCCACCCAGGCCTCCTTCACGGTCCAGATCATGGGAGCCAAGTTGCCTCTTCCCCCAGGGAGAGGCAGGTGCTGAGGTACACTGGAGCTGACCCAGGAAACCCAGAAAGAGAAGCCAGTAAGGGGAGGAGAGGGAGTGACTCAGGGCCGTTCCCTGTGCAGAGGTACCGGCGAAGAACATCTTTTTACCACTCACGGCCATGGGACATACACCCCCTGGCTGAAATGCCTTCCTACAGAGAGTACCCGAAGACTCTGCAGGAAAGAAGTCACTTCATGGGCTGGTTTACTGATGCACTGATCTGGGAAGTCAGGTGCAGTACCAGGCGCTTTCCCTGAACGATCTCATCTCATTTTAGCCCCTATGTTCTGAGACCTTGCAGACCAGGACACTCGGGCCCAGGGAGGTTAAGGAAAATGCCCAAGGCCTAGTTCCTGTTGAGGGTAGAGCCTGGATTTGAACTCGGGTAGTTCTAACTCCCTTGATTCTTAGTGGAACAGGTAAAAGGTGCATCTTGAGATAACGTTGGTTATCCAGAAGTCTGGCTTTTGTGGAGGAACCGAGGGAGTGGCGTTCAGAATGCTGATTAACTTTTTTATACAATTTAAATTAGCTTGATTTGTAATAATGAGCATGGATTACTTTTGTAGCTCAACATATAAATATACAATAGAACATCTATAGATAAATCGGCCTCCCAACCTTTGAGTCCCTAACGGGCCTACAAACTCGGTGGGGGGAGGGGATTCTCCCCCTCGGCCAGCAGTCTGTCCATCCAGCCCCTCCTTGCCACAACTGAGTCACACACTGGCCACCTTCCTGGCTCCCTCTGCCAAGGGTCCCTCCAGAGTTGGACTGAATAGTGATGAAGTGCCAGCTGGCATGTCAGGTCGGTCACATATGGAGATGGAGCAGTGTGGGAGGCAGGGAATCCCTGCTGACATCAGCACTGAGGCCCAGAGGGTCACTGACCCAGGGTCATGCCATCGTGGCGTGGGTCTGGACAGCGCCTGTGGGCTGCCAGTGTGTCCTGATGAAGAAACAGGACTGATGGTACGAAAGAGCTGATCTGACCAAACACTGGGTTTGTCGCCTAGCCTCTTTGAGCCTCAGTTTCCCCAAATCTAAAGGAAGGGCTTATACTAGGTAATTTCCTGGGAGTCCTGCTGGAATCATTTTATTCTGTGGAGGGCTGTAATTGAGACGTGCCTTTTCTTTCTCCCCTTAGGGAGAAGTGTGGATGTAATGTAATTTGGGGGGGGTCTCAGATCTCAGGGTCCCAGGGATCTCCAGGACCCTGGAGTGTGATTGGCCCTTTGGTGCCGAGTCTCCTCCATGGCTCATCAGCACACTTTCTGCCTGGGCGTTCCCCCCCCCCCCGCCGCCCCTGCCAGGGGCTGCCTGTAGACAGATCTGGATGTATGCAAGTCTCCTCCTGGGGGAGACCTGCAGCTCGGGCACAGTTTGGTGGACTACACAGGCCACTAATCAGCTTCTTTCTTCCCCTTCTTCCACAGTGCAACCCACCTCTAGAAGTTAAAGATTTATTCATTGATATACAAGATGGCAAAATCCTAATGGCTTTGTTAGAAGTCCTGTCTGGGCGAAATCTGGTACGTATGTCACGGAAGGGGCAGGGAGACATAAGATGCAAAGGAAACCACTGCTGGTTTCTTTTCAGGACACACCTACACGTATGTACCCATATCGGGCCACGCGTGATCTTGTGACGAGAAACTTAGAAGGGTGACATTCCTTTCTCAGGGACCAAGAGTGACATAATCATGTATAACTAAGCAGTATCCTTTTTTTTTTTTAAAGTAAATATACTTTAGTAAGTAAATAACTGCATGCTCCGTGTTTTCCGGGAGTCTGTTAAAGATTGAAACTAGATCATTAAACTTTAGCGCTCCAGCCGTTGTATCAACTAGAACGATAGCCAAGAATCAGGAAGATTGAGGAGAAAGGCAGCTTGCCAACCAGATTCCATTATCCACCTGAGGCTAAAACTACCACTGCTGGCTTCTAGAACCTTTTCATTAGTCTCGTCATTCCCCCTTATCTGCAGAGGGTACGTGCCAAGACCCCCAGCAGATGCCTGAAACTGCGGACAGTACTGAACTGTGTCTATGCTGTGTTTTTTTTCTATACACACGTCCCCGTGATGAAGTTTAATTTAGAAATTAGGTGCAGTAAGAGATTAACAAGGATAACTAATAATAAAATAGAACGATTATATTACTGTATATGGTCATAAAAATTTTGTGAATGTGAAAAAATTAAATTAAAAACAATTATGTAAATGTGGACTCTCCCTCTCTCAAAACGCCTTACTGTCCTGGCCTCACCCCTCTTCTTGTGACGATGTGACATGATATCAAGTCCACATGGTGAGAGGAAGTGAGGGGAGTGATGTTGGCACGTGATGTAGCATGAGGCCACTGGGACCCTCTGACCACATGTCAGAAGGAGGGTCGTCTGCTTCTGGACCACAGTTGACTGCAGTCACAGAAAGTGAAACCACGTATAAGGGATGACCACATTGAGCTGCACTAGCTGAGCCGGAGGCTCATTCTACTTTGGATCTCCCCCTACGTCTCCATGTTGTGTGTGTCTGCTGTGCGCAGGTTGGTCGTCTCTCTCCCCTTCCCAGAGCAGGGCTTCTCCACCCCAACACTGCTGACATTTTGGGTCCAATAGTTCTTTGTCGTGGGGACTGTCCTGGGCATTGCAGGATATGTAACAGCAGCCTTGGTCTCTACCCACTGGATGCCAGTAGCACCCCCAGGTTTGACAGCCAAAAATGTCACTTGACGTTGCCAGATGTCCACTGAGGGGGCACAGTGACCTGGCCAAAATGCCAGTGGTGGTGATGTTGAGAAACCACACTCTAGAGTCTAGTGTTTGATGTGGCCTCCATGCCGCATTGCGGCTCAGGCGAAGGTGCTGCCGTGGGTCACAGCTCCGCCAGCCCATAGCTCGGCCATTGTGGACCTCTCGAGATCTATTTTTAATTTTAGGTTTAAAGTCAAGAGCCCATCCTGCTTTCAGATCTAATGTAGCTGGAATCTCGTCACACCCCTTAACCGTCCCCATCTTCATCTCCCAAAAGCAAAACGGGAGATTCCTGTTCACTGCTCCAGGGGGGCTGGGCAGAGTCTCATAACGAATTCTCACAAATGGCGGACGCACTGTGGTAAAAAACGTCTCTCTCTCTCGCTCTCTGGCTGTCTCCATCTCTCTCTCTCTCTCTCTGTCTCTTGTCTCTCTCTCTCTCTCTCTCCATCTTTCTCTTTTCTCTCTCTGTGTCTCCATCTCTCTCTCTGTCTCAGTCTCTCTCTCCCTGCCTGTCTGTCTGTCTGTCTGCTTCTCTCTCCACCTGGGGCAGCTGTCCACAAAGATCCTGGCAGAAAACAGAAACATCTGCTCTTGGCAGGAGGGACTTGCCGGATGATTTAGCAGCTGCGGGGATGCCCCAGCTGATGCTCCCTGCCTGTCAAAACCGTCAGCGTGGCGAGGAGAACGCGTCCCTGGAGGTCTCAGGAGGGGAAGGAATATCAAACCCAGGAGCCGGGTCAGAGAGAACAGTTTGACAAATCTGTCCCCTGTTTAACCTGTCTGGGTCCCCCGATTCACCAACTCAAGTGAGTTAAGTCCCAAGGACCATAAATACGGAGTGGGTTTCAGCTGCGAGCCCCTAACTTTCTCTTGGGATTAATGAGAAAGAGGTAAAGACAAAGGCCCACCCCACAGCACCCCTGCGCCTGGAGCGCCTGTGTTGGATTCACTTCTTGTTTGCTCTGTTCTGTGTTACAGTTGCACGAGTACAAATCCTCATCCCATCGTATTTTCCGGTTGAACAACATAGCGAAAGCACTTAAGTTTTTGGAAGATAGCAACGTAAGTATTTGAAACACATCTTGTTAACACAAGCTTTTCTTGTGACGAGAAGGACGAGTGCCCGTCACGTAACGGGACTCCCTCCGGTCATCCTTCAGCTGGAGATGTGGTCCCTGGCTCCCTGCCTGCCGCGCCCTGTCCATCCGATGCCATCTCTGCCGGATACCTGGCCGTGGGAAGGGCAGACCAACAGGCTGGTTCTCCGGCCCTTAGCATTTCACATTTCCTTCTTTATCCCTTTGAATGGTGCCCCGAACGTGCCACAGTGGGACACTTTCTCTTAGCAAGGAACTTTCTAGATTGAAGTTAGCTTTTTCTGTGTTTTGAGCTCTGCTTCATGTCCTTCAAAAGAGGGGAGGGACAGTCCTGGAGGGATGAAATTTCCAGAGCTCCTCTTCCATTAAAGCTTCATCAGTTAACCGGGATAGAAAGCCCGCAGCTTGCCCGATGGGTCTGCACGTGCAATAAAACTTCAAGCGTGGGGTTCTTAATGGTAAGCAATGGAAGCTGACCTTGGCTGCTGTAAGCGGAAAAGGAATTTGTTGAAGGGATGCCTCGCAGCACACAGAATGCCTCGCTAGACTGAGGAGTCAGGCGGTCCAGGGATGCGAGGTGCCAGGACCATTGTAGAGCCTGCCTCCCCACAGTGTAAGGACCCCTGTGCACATGACCCCCTGCCTGTGAGTGAGAGGACATTCCTGCCCCCACCACAGCCCCTGGAATGAACTCTTAATGTCCCACATTCAGGTTCAAAGGCCTGGGCCGCCATGCCTGGATCCCGCCCACATCCCTGCTGCCATGGGGGAGGGAAAGCACTTTCGGCTTTTGAAGGAGGTGGGCTCCGCCTCCCATACTGTGGGGAAAGCTCCAGATACAGGAGGGAGTTCAGATGGTGGCAGCCAAAAAGCACAGTACACTTTACACCAGCATCATTCACAACAGCCAAACAGTGGAGGCAACTCGGGGCGCCTGGGGGGCTCAGTCGGTTAAGCGGCCAACTTTTGATTTCAGCTAAGGGTCTTGGGATCGAGGCCCGAGTCAGGTTCCATGCTCAGTGTGGAGTCTGCTTGGAATTCTTTCCCCCTGCCCCTTCCACCCCCCTGTTCTCTCTCTCGCTCTCTGTCTCTAATAAATAAATAAAATATTAAAAAAAAAAAAGGCAGAGGCAACCCAAGTATCCATCAGCAGATGAGTGGATGAACAAAATGGGGTCTGTCCACACCATGGAATATTATTCACCCCTGAAAAAGAATGAAGTACAGCATGGTCGAATCTTGAAAACATTATGCCATGTGAAGGAAGTCAGACACAAAGGACATTACTCTTTGATTCCATTCCTATGAAAAGTCCAACACTGGGAAATCTTTCAAGACAGAAAATAGAGGCGCCTGGGTGGCTTAGTCGTTAAGCGTCTGCCTTCGGCTCAGGTCATGATCCCGGGGTCCTGGGATCGAGCCCCACATGGCATCTGGCTGCCTGCTCATCGAGGAGGCTGCTTCTACCTCTGTCTCTGTCTGTCTGCCTCCCCCCCCCGCTTGTGCTCTCTCTCTCTCTCTCTCTCTCTGTCAAATAAATAAAATCTTAAAAAAAAGAAAAAAGACAGAAAATAGATTCATGGCTGCTTAAGGTTGTAGCAGGGGGTGATAGTTAAGGGGTATGGGGTCTCTTTTTGAGGTGACAGAAATGTTCTAAAATTGTGGTGACAGGCGTGTACATCCATCAATACGCCAAAAACCATTGACTGATATACCTTAAATGGGTGAATGGAATGGAATGTGAGTTATATCTCAATAAAGCTGTTTTATTTTTTTTAAGACTTATTTACTTATTTTAGAGAGAAAAAGAGAGAGAAAGAGTGCACATGAGTTCCGGGGAAGGGCAGAGGGAGAGAGAGAGAAACGCAGGCAGACGCCCCACTGAGCACAGAGCCTGATGCGGGGCTCGATCTCACGACCCTGAGATCATCACCTGAGCCGAAATCAAGAGTCAGACGCTCAACCAACTGAGCCTCCCAGGTTGCCCCGAGCTGTTTTTTTTAAAAAGCACATCACATTTTCATGGAAATGGCTGGCCTGTCTGTGGCGTTGGCCTCACCTTGGTGTTCGCGCTCATGGGGTGGCTCAGAGCACGGGTCCTAGGGCACACCTGGCGGGCTTCCAACCCGGGAAAATTAGGCAGACTCTCCAATCCTCGGTTCTCACATCTGTAAAATGAAAGTGATAAAACCCCAGAACCTTGTTGAGGATTGAATGTGCCTGGCCCGGTGGAGGCTAGCCAAGTGCTGGCCCTGGGTGAGGGCACCCTGCCCCCCTGCACCTCAGCTCCTAGAAGGCAGCACTGGGCATGGCTCTTCTGAGCAGTGTCTCCCCCATTCCCAAAGGGGCGTGGTTTTTGTGATAACTTAGAGCCTTGGAATGACTGCCTGGGAGATTCATTGCTCTTCCTTCCTGCTGGTCGACCCCTAAGCACGTTCCTACTCTGTCAGCTGCCCATGTTGATGGGCCTGGAATATAGGCAACGGGAATGGTGGGTCTGCCCCCAGCGGCCCTTCGGGGCTCATTGAGCAAGTGTCTTCTGGGGGCCTGGGGTTGTGCTCAGCGTTGGGACACACAGCTGCATGAGAAGCACATCTGCGCCTTCAGGGAGCTTAGAGTCCAGTGGAAGAGGCCTCATGTGGCCGGCAAGCCGCGGGTCGCACCAGGGCACCAGGGGCATCCTGGGGAGCCATGATCCCTTCGTGGCCGGCAGGGGGCATCCGGGGTGGCCGGCCCCGCAAGTAGGCCCGGGCAAGCCCACAGCTAAGGCAGGAAGGCCTGACCTCTGTCGCCCTCCGGGGCTGGTTCACCAGCCTACTCAGTGTCTCCTGACAAGGCTGCTCTGGCATTTTCTGGCTTGGGAGGGTTTCCCATAAAGCTCGGCTCAGAGGGCCGAGCTTGGCTTCCTCTGAGGTGGGAGTGAAGGCCGAGACAGGCCCGTAGACCGCTTTGATCCCCTGCACAGGGGTGAGTGCAGGGAGCCGCCACATGGAGGGGGCTGTCAGAGCAGAGGGGTCAGGAGACAGCAGGCCACGTGTAGCCGGCGACTCATCCCGTGGGATGGGGCCGCCTCTGACGAGCTTGCAGGGAATACTGGACCTGAGTTTGATCAGCCATTTTATTCACATTGACAGCTTCCTTCCTGGCTCCAGCCTGCCTGTGATGAGCTCGTGCTGCTTGAGTTATGTACTCTTTGCGAGACAGACCTGAGCCGTGGACCTCGGGGTTCCCTCCCCCTTTAGGAAAGCCCGGCCCTACCGCCTGCGGTAGTCAGAAACCCCTGACCCGCTGATAGGATCTGAGACCTGGGTGAACAGTTGTAAAAGGCCCCGGGGAAAGGGGAGAAAGGAGTATTTGTGCGAGAATGCTCTCCTCGTGCTTGCTTTCCAGCGTCCCCTGGCAGAATTTTGCAGGAGACCTTGACTGACTTTATTTCTCCTCTCTGCCGCCAAAGAATGGTTTTTAGTTTTGTAGAGGAGTTGGGAAGAAAGAAGAAGCAAATTTGTCAGAGGCCGGTGTGGCCTGCAAACACTTGCGGTTATCGCCTACCCTTGACAGAAGAAGTGTGCAGATGCCTGATCTATGCACTCAGATTCTGTTCGCAGGTTAAAGTGATGTCCTCAAACCTGAGTGTGCGTCAGAATCGCCTGGAGCGCTGGTTCAAGTGCAGGTGTCTGGGCCCTGTTCTCGGACTTCCTGATTCAGGAGGACGAGGAGAGAATTTGCATTCTAACCAAATTGCAGGTGATGTTGTTGTCCCTGGCCCAGGGAACACACTTTGAAAACCTGCCTTAGGGATTCACCAAAAGCATCACCCTGCCGTCAGAACATAGTGAAATACATAGGTTAGTTCCCCTAAGGGTTTCTATAATAGATGCATTTTAATCAGGATGTTTGGTAATGATGCAGTCACTCAGGGTATAAGCCTTATTCCAACACACTCTTTCTTGCTTTCTTTTTTTTCCCAGAGAGAGAGGGGGGCAGGGAGGGGATGAGGGGGCAGAGGAAGAGAGAATCTTGAGCAGACTCCACACCCAGTGAGGAGCCTGACACGGGGCTTGATCACATGACCCTGAGATCATGACCTGAGCTGAAATGAAGAGTTGTAGCTCAACTGACTGAGCCACCCAGGTGCCCCCGCAACATGCTATTTCTACTTAGCAGTGGATAACTATCTTATCCATTGGTGGTCCATGATTGCTGATTTGTTGGTGCTCTGTGTTTGTCCAAAACTGTGTTAAGCCTGGAGGTTTGGTGGTGTTAGTGTTAGCATACAAACAGACCCAGCCGGCACTTACCAACTCCCCTCGAAAAGAATGACCAAGACCTTTCCTGGCTGCGTGTCCCAGGCACGTTACATTTGGCCTTGGTGAGATTTCCTCACCTGACACATAGGGATAATAGAAGTACCTACATTGTGGGGTTGTTGTGAGGACAAACTGAGTTACTCCTTACAAGTTGCTTAGAATGACGTCTAGCCCCTGGTAAGTACTATGGACACGTTTATTAAACTCATTTGCGTATGTTTTTGCACACGGGGGTCCCTGAGGTGGCCTTGGACAGAACTGAATGATAGAGATGAGAAAGAGCGACAGGCCCACGAGGGCATCCGAAAATAACAGGTTGCAACCTTCTTGAACGCCCTGCATTAAGCTCATAAATTGCTTCTTTCCAGGTAAAACTGGTTAGCATTGACGCAGCAGAAATAGCAGATGGCAACCCCTCTTTGGTTCTTGGGCTGATATGGAACATAATCCTCTTCTTCCAGGTAAAGTGATTTCCGTGACGCACAGTAACGATCTCCTTGAGCCTGCTTAGTGCCCGCAGAACAGAGGGAGGGCCATGTCGGGGGAGACTGTGAGATCTTGTTTCTGACAGATTGTGACTTTTCTGTGTCTTGAAAAAGAACCAGAGGCCATCTGGTTGCTGACGATGTGGGTCCCTGTGATTTTAATAGGGACGTGAGCTCCATTCTCCAGAAGGGTAGAGCCATCCCCTTGGGACTTCGAGAGTTACATATTCGGAAAATCATTTTGTTGTAAAAGTGTTACGAGAACCGGGGAAATACTGCTAACCACAAATTGAGTTTGGAGTTACTTTCAGAAATGACTGGTGCACAGCAGACAGTTAAGGAGCCGGTCTGAAAGATGGCTGCGGGAAGGGGCATGCGTGAGAGTGAGACTCTGCTCTCCATCCTTGGCAACTTCAGCCTGAATTTGGAAATGCAGATTTTATAGGGAAGGACAGGATCTGTGGCTGGAGTCTGAAGGTGGGGCATTTGAAACAAGCACAAGTTCTTGCCCCCAGATAGGAGGGGAGCAAGCTGACATTTTGTCCTCTAAAATCCCCTCTTCTGAAATAGAAAGTCGTGGCTCATATTTGAATTGCCCTGCCAAGAGTAATAGTGACTTGCCTGGAGGTGATTTGCTGGGGCTTTTGTCTCAACGCTTGTGTTGCTGAGAGGAATGTGCACAAACAAGGTTTACGGACAACAGACCCAGTTCCGTGTGAGCCTTGAACTTAAAGAAACCAAACGCTGTGTCTCTGAGCCTCAGTTTCCACATCTGTAAAATGGGAGCAGTGGTCAGCTATGTGGGAAAGCCCTTTGTCAACTGTACAGTGTTACCTACAGGCTTCAGTTACTAATGTCTCTTACTAAACTCTCCAATCAATGCTGAAAACATCCTGAAAATGTGTCCAAAGTCAAGGCCTTAAATCTACCCCCGATCTTCATTCATTCATTCAGTAAATGTCTGTCGAGTTTCTCCCTATGTGCCAGGCTCTGCACACACAAAGTCCTGCCCTCATGACACTCTGGGACCTCAGACAAGGCAGTCCCATGTTATAGAGCCATGTGGTGCAGGTTCTGATCAAGGTATGAGCAGAGTGTTGTTAGAATGCTGAGCAGGAGCAACTGTCTCAGATTGGGGAAGGGAGTAAGGAAAACTTCCTGGAGGAAGTGATGCCAGAGCTGGGTTTTGAAGGATGAGTAGGAGTGCATTAGACTTTGCTGTGCATACAGATGACCTGGAGAAGGTGTTGAAATGCAGATTCTGATTCTGTAGGTCTGGGGAAGAGCCTGGGGTTCTGTATTTCTTGCAAGAGTTGCATGATAGGGGCCCTATTTCGGGTAGCCAGGAATTTGGTGATGGAGGAAAGGAACATCTAGGCAGCAGGACCAAGATGAACACAGGCATGGGGCTTGAAACAGTATCATGCATCCTAGGGCTGATAGGCCATGAGGGGAAAGGGGTAGGCGGAGGCAGGTCAGAAGACCTTGCAGGCGTGCATAGCCCAAGCACCAAAAGAGAGAGACTCCAGGAAGAGATAAGCTTCCCTGGGAAGTGTCTGCATGCACCGCAAGCCACATAAAACAGTCTGGCCATCATGGGTACTTTAGGAAGCGGCTTCTCCTTACGTAGAGAACCAATTGTGCATGAGCTGGTCCCTCCAGCCAGGCTCCTTGTGGCCTGGGGTCAGAGAAGGGTTTGCCCTGGGACTCTCTCCAGGGCCTGAAATGCCATTTTCCCTCCAGATTAAGGAGCTCACGGGCAATCTCAGCAGAAAGTCTCCATCTTCCAGCCTGTCACCTGGCTCGGGGGCCACAGACTCAGACTCTTCCTTCCCGCCCACGCCCACCACAGAGAGGAGCCTGGCGGTATCGGTGAAAGATCAGAGGAAGGCTATCCGGACCCTGCTGGCATGGGTGCAGAGGAAGACAAGGAAGTAAGCCATCGCGCCCTGTCCCCACCGCGCATGACATGCTGTTGTCAGGCAGGGGGGAAGGGGGCGGGGGGCTTCCCTGGGTAGGGTGGGGCAGAAGAAGGGGGCACCAGCATGTATTAAGTTATGCGCCTGTCACTCCCTAGAGGCTCTGAGAGCAGACAGCACTGTACATTTTCAGTCTCTGCGCACACAGAGCTGTGTTTGCAGAATACTTGGTTTGCAGAAAACCGATAGGAAGACTGGAATACAAATCAAAGGGGCTTGGATCCTCATAACAGGTACATATTCATTGGTAAGCTTCAGGGGATCTTTCAGAGTCTGTACCCACTTAAACACTAGGAACAATAAAGGCGGTATCGTGCTCGGTCAGGTCCAGCCTTTCCAAAACCGAGACAGGTGACTCGGAGCAAAGATCCCGGGCTGCTGGGTGAGCCCATGCCAGCAGGCCAGGGCTCTCTGCAATTTTGTATCAGGTCTTTTACTGGCAGCCAGATGACAGCCCCTGGGGCCTGTGGGCCGTGGGCCATGGGCCATGGGCCGGGATGGCTGGAAAGTTAGGCCACGTGTGATGAGAGCCACACCACCGCAGGGCCACCCAGCTCTGAGGCGCACAGACTGGGGGCCTTCCCGGCACATCACAGGATGGTAACTTATCTTTGGCTGCCTTCCGGGACAGTCAGGATTAAGTGAAGCAAGCTCGTGAAAGCGCCTTCCACGGTCCCAGCACTTAATAAGCACTTACTCATCGGGTCCCTTCTCCCTGCTCTATGGAAATAAAAGATAAAAGAAGAGAGAGTTGGCTCTTTGGGTTTGGACCAAAGGGTCGAGCATGATAGAGTTGATGAACGTAAAAACCCCTCTCAGATGTGTTTTAAAAATAAATCAACCAAAAGAGAGCTCAGTGCCAGGAGGTAGGGCAATCGTCAAGGAGAAGAATTGTCCGGGGGAGGGTGGACCGGTTCAGTATCTCCCTCATGGCGGCGGCTGCAGGCCTGTACTTGACCGAGTGGTGTGGTACCCTCCGCCACCCCCACGGGAATGCCAGTGGAGAAATCCGGACAAGGTCTGTGGCTCAGAAGTCGCCCACCAATGTCAGGGTCCTGCTTTTGGTGATACGCTCAGCTGACAGAGGGGGAGCGAGGGAAGCTGGACGAATGGTATCAGAGGTCTGCGCACCTGCTTTTCCAGCTTCTGAGGAATCTCAAGCGATTTCTAAATAAAACTGTCTTTTCAAAGAGGTCAGTGACCGCAGTTGGAAGATGGGTGACGTCTCTGGATGGATCCTAAAGGAAATTAGTGCCTGGCAGGATTATGTATCTTTGTCCCTCACTTGTAAATTGTTAAGGTTATTGATATGCATAATGACATTGGCGGCCACTTAGTCGGTGGCTTGTGTGTGCCACGTGGGCAAAACCTAACACTTCCCCCAATAGCCACCAAGAGGTCGTAGGGAGATGGTCCTCATTGTACAACTGAGGAGCTTGAGGGCCAGAGAAGATACGGGGCTTGCCTCAGCAAGGCCGCAGCCCTGGGAACGCACAAGGGGCGGCCAGGATGTGACCTTGGGTTTTGACCCTCACTGCAACGTGCACGGTGTGGAGAGTCGCTCCTTTGTGTGTCTGGGAATCTCGGAGCATAAGCTCCTATCCGCCTCTGGGTGCAAATTACACCTTTCCTGTTCTATGATTCTAGATTATTCTGACATTATTCTGTTTCTTTGGAAATGGAGATCTGGGTGGTTCAGCACCACTCTCCTGGGACCCAGGGCCTTGCGAGTTGGCCGCTCGGGGGCCCGCGAGTCTGCCGCGTATGGGCTCCTCACTGGGGAGGGGTGTGCGTTTCCTGACCCGCGGCGTGGCCGGCGTGGCCACTTTGCTGCAGGTATGGCGTGGCAGTGCAGGACTTCGCGGGCAGCTGGAGAAGTGGGATGGCCTTCCTGGCCGTGATCAAGGCCATCGACCCCAGCCTGGTTGACATGAAGCAGGCCCTGGAAGACTCCATGCGGGAAAACCTAGAGAAGGCTTTCAGCATCGCGCACGAGGCCCTTCACATCCCCAGGCTTCTGGAGCCAGAAGGTAGTGCTCATTCTCTCTTTCTCTTGCTTACTTGTTAATAATTTTTGTGACATAGGGAACATGCTGTGCATGTAGAAAAATTTGGAAAATACAGAAAAATCTAATGAAGACATGTTTATATTTCCTATGTCCCTACCCCTTAGTATTTGTCTATGCATCTCATGGCAATTTTTTTACGTAATTGAGATCATTGGTGCACCAATGATCTGTGCATCTCATGACAATTTTTTTACGTAATTGAGATCATTGGTGCACCTATATAGTTGACCCTTGAGCAACTCAGGGGTTAGGGGTGCTGACCGCCCACCGCACTTGGAAATCCACGTATAACTTCCGCCCCCCTAGAAACTTAACTACCAGTAGCCTACTTTTGACTAGAAGCCTTACCGATAACATGAACAGTTAATTAACACATTCTGTATGTATGTTATATGTATTATACACTGTGTTCTTACAGTAAAGTAAGCTAGAGAAACGAGAATGTTAATAAGAAAAACATAAGGAAGAGAAAATACACTTACAGGACTGTACCATATTTTTTGGGGAAAAAAAAAAAATCGTATGAGCAGACCTGCCCAGTTCAAACCCACCGTTGCTCAATGGTCAGCTGTGGTTTTGTATTTTACTTGTTTAAATTAAGTTTCTTATTTTATATTATTTATTTATTTTTTTAAGATTTTAGTTATTTGACAGAGAGACACAGAGAGAGAGGGAACACAAGCAGGGGGAGTGGGAGAGGGAGAAGCAGGCTTCCCGCGTAGCAGGGAGCCCGATGTGGGGCTCGATCCCAGGACCCCGGGATCATGACCCGAGCCGAAGGCAGATGCTTAACAACTGAGCCACCCAGGCACCCCAATTAAGTTTTTTATTTTAATTCCAGTATGGTTACTATACAGTGTCGTGTTAGTTTCAGATGTACAGTCTAGTGATTGGCAATCCTGTACACTGCTCAGTGCCCATCGTGATACCTGTGCTCTGCTTCCTCATCACCTGTCTGTCTTTTGCTTTTTTGACTTAGCATTGTAATTACGACAGCAGCGCTGAGCCTGTTGCTCTCATGTCTTCGTTACATATTTTTAATGGCTGCACAATGGCCCATCTCATGGGCATACCAAAATTCACTTAGGTCTCCTACCCCTGGTGGACACCGAGGTTGTTTTGGAAACAGTCACGTTTATATACAACATGCAGTGGCCATCTTACTGGAAAGAGCTCAGTGTGCATCCCACCTGATGTTCTCCTGGACCAGATGCCATCTGTGGAATACCAGAGTGGGAAGGAAAGTGCACACCTTTTTAAGGCACTTGGCTATCTGTCCGATTGCTTTCCACGTGGCTTGGGCTGATATGGGACTCTCTCCAGCAGTGAAGAAGGGTCTTGATCAGCAGACTCGCTGATGGGGCCGGCAGTGAGCTGGCTGCTCCTGGAGGGGTGGGGGGGGGGGGGGGAGGGTATTCAGCAGGGAATAATGGACAGCCTTGGGAATGAGGAATTCTGGATTCTGCATCCCAGCTCCGCTCTTCATCAGCCAGATGTGAGACTGTAATCAAGTGATTCATCCCCTCTGGGTCTAAATTTCCTCAAATACAAAACAACAGAGAAAAAACATCAAAGGTCTTTGGGATTCTTCACCATCAAGCAGCCCTTGATCCTGTTTAAAAATCTCGTTGTTCGTCATCCTTCTAACTCCTGTGTCTCTCTTGACAGACATCATGGTTGACACGCCAGATGAGCAGTCTATCGTGACTTACGTGGCACAGTTTCTGGAACATTTCCCGGAGTTGGAAGCCGTATGTTTGTTTCCCTTACCTTCAGTGCAGAAAGTGTACATTTCCATCTGCCGGCCATCACACAAAGCTGGGGTTCAGGCCATGTTGCTCCGTGCAACGAGCAATAATAATCAAAACTGGATCTCGAGTCCCTTGAGCGTTGCCTTGGCACATTTTAATTTCAGAATCATAGATAAGGTGCTTTACATTTAAAAGCAGGATGGCAGGTTGGCCAGCCATACCTCTTGCAAATATCTTCCCATACCAAACTTCACTGAGATTGTCAAAGATGCTCGCTTGTCATATGGATGGGCTACCTGATCCTCTAGGTGTCCGATGGAACATTTGGGCAGTTCACCAAATTTTATCAGAGTGTGCAAAATGATTATAGACAATGACCGTTCAGAACCCTCTTATTTTCAGAATCCCAGACTGTACTTGGAGCAGAATCAGACCTTTCAGAAGTTGTCAGGCTCCACTGAACATGCACCCACCCCGGGCCCAACCTTGAGATGATTTAGTGATAGCAACAATGTAACAGTAGATCTCTATTGAATTCATTGGTAATTTACCAAACACCTACGCTTGCTCAGGGGGACTCAGCAGGAAGCTGGATAGATGAGGTCCCTGACCTCCTACAACTTTGTTCTAATAGACAAAACAGTTAACAAGTGAGCAAACACAGTCTAGATGTCCAGATTGTGGTTAAGTACTAGATAGAAGCAAAATAAGCATGAAGACCTAATGCTCACAGGGGGAGCGGAGCTGCGCTTGGAGCCGGAGGCTGGTCAGGTCAGTGCTGTGTGTATCTCCAGGCTGACTGCCCCTCCAGTTCGACATGGCTCCACGTCATTATCCTCGTGTTATAGATGAAGATACGGACAGTCAGAGAAGCTTAAACACCACCCCAGGATCACAGCTACCGAGAGACCTCAGGTCTCTGTGACTCCTCAGTTCTGGCTCTTAGATCCCTTACAGCATGTGGCTGAAACTGAGGCCCCATTTTGTGCGGCTCTGAAGAGCCAGATGGAGTCCTCCTATGCTGTGGCTTTCATTTTTTCCCTTCCTGTGTGTGTGTGTGTGTGTGTGTGTGTGTGTCCCATCTGTCCTTACACCATAGATCACTTCCCAGGGTGCTTTAAAAGCAGAATTCTTGGGGCTGGAATGGCGGTTCTGCCACTTAAAGCTCTGTGACCTTGAGCTGCTTACTTAACATCTCTGATATGTATCATCTGTGAAATGGAAATACTACCCACATTTCAGTGTTGTGTGAAGAATAAATGGATGATGTCAAGTACCCAGTCTTCTGCCTGCCACGACAGTTGATGCTCAGCAAAGGGTGGTGATGATGATTGTTTTGTAATTCAGTTTTCTCTGCCCATCACTAAATTCTGAGATGCTAAGCACGAGGACCTTTATGAGCCCTGAGCTCTTAAGCTGTAGGCCGAGTTTGAAATCAACTGAATCTTACGGTATCTGTGTGAGTCAAGGTCATAGCCAAGATTCGGCAAATCTGACACTTGGACCTCCCCAGTGCTGGGGTCAGAGACTAGGGCTGGGAGGAGAGAGATTGAATGGGATAGGATACCTGGAAACAGTGGTCCTGAATCACAGAACACACTGCATCACTGCAGAACTGACCATATACCTCCTCAAGGGAATACAGATGGGAAGTCCCAGCTAATCTAGACGCCCACTCAGCTGTTCCTTAACAATTCAGCTGAATTTAGTTCATTTTACTAAACCTTCGGTAAGCCCTGGTCAGCCATGTGCCAGACACTGTGCCTAGCTTTATGGCCCAACATATGGTTTTATTTGGGTAAATGGATCACATACACTTGGAAAGAATGTGTCTTAGGCAGTGAAAGAATTGACATTTTTTAAATACTGATTAGATTGACTTGGTTAATATGCTCTTCTAGTATTCTGTACACCTACTGATTTTTTTTTCTCCTTTCCCTATCATTTAGTGTGAGGGGAAAATGTTAAAAATCTCCTTAGTGGTTGTGGATGGGTTTCTCTTCTTAGTTCTGTCAGTTTTCGCTTTCTGATGTTGACCTATGCTATAAATGCATACACATTTAAGATTGTCATATCTTCCTGATGACTCAATCGTTGTATTTTTCTGCCGTTTCAGTCTTTGTCTCAAAGTATACTTTGTCTGACAGGAATATGACCATACCAGCTTTCTTATGATTAGTGTTTACATGATGTATCTTTTTCCATCTTTTCCTTCCAGTGTATGTGTGCTTATATTTAGAGCAAGTTTCTTGTAAACAGTGTATAGCTGGGTCTTGTTTTTTATCCATTCTGACAAGAATTAGTGCATCATTTTATTAGTGTATTTCTCAACTATTGACATAGATTTAATCTACCATCCTGATTTTTGTTTTTCATTGGTCCTATCATGTGATCCTTTGTCCTTCCTTTTTTTTTTTTTTTGATTATTGATTATTTTTATTTCCATTTTATCTCCTCCATTGGCTTTTTGGCCACATCTCCTTGTTTTATCTTTGCAGTAGCTTCAGTGGGGATTATAATACTCATCTTGAACCCACTTTAGTCTACCTTGAATTGTTATACTGCTCTAAGTAAAATGCATAGTGTATGCATTTTTATGTATGTAACAATGTAATTCCATTCTCTTCTCTGTTCCTTTGTGCTATTATTATCATTTACTTTACTTCTATATGCGTTTTAATCTCCAGTGCTTTGTTATTATTATTATTGCTTTAAATAGGAGACTTTTTAAGAAAAATTTTTAAATAGTCTTTTATATTGACCATATAATTACCATTTGGGGTACTTTTCATTCCCTCCTTCAGATCCAGGCTTCTGTCTGTGGTCATTTCCCTTCAGCCTGGAGAGCTATCTTTGTATTTCTTGTAGCCTTGGTTACTTTTGGAGTCTTTTATTTGCTAGTGCTAACCCTTGGTCATATTTGAGTCTACTTCTAATGATTGTTGTTTCTCTTGATTATGGGTCTCATTTTCCTGCTTCTCTATGTCTTAAAATGTTTTATTTTATGCCAGACCTTGTATATGAAAGAATAGTAGAGATTGAGATAGCCAGTATTTTTACCCCAGAGAACGTAGCCTTTTTCCAAACTAGGACCTGATTGAGGAGCTGATTGTTTTGACCTTCCCAGGAGTCGATAACAGCTACACTGCAGTTTTATTTAATGTCAACCGCCTCATTTCAAATTATTTTAGGATGAGGTCAGTCGACTCTCTCCACCAGTACACCGGGAGCCTAGCATTGCAATACCACCAAGATTGCTCTCTGCTTTTCAGCCCTGCTCTCAGCTGCTCTTACTTAACAGAAGTCCTGGTGTGGGAGAATTAGTATATGAAGACAACTGGTTTTGCATTTGGGGCCCTTCCATATTTAATCTCTCACACTTCCCCATGCAATCAATAAAGAATCGGCTAATCTTTCTTTAGCTTGGGTAGGTTCACTCTCCTATCCATACTCAGACTAGGCAATGGCCTGCCAGTCTGAAGTAGCTGACACTCACTTAGGAAGGGCTCATCCTTCTCTAGAGTTCAGTTCATTGAGATTTCTTTGCATCCATAGCTTTTAAAAACACATTTTTAACTTATCTGGTGTTTTCACATTTCAGCAGGAGCAACCATCTGTATCTCTTAATTAGAACACTTTGCATTAGTTCTGAAGTGGCTTTTTCCACATTGGTTTTTGTTTTATGAGAGGGGAATATACATCGTACTTCAGTACTCCTCTGATTTTGTGTTGCCCTATGTTTCTTTGCAGGAGGATTTCGTGGATTCCGATAAAGAAGGCCCTATCGAATCCACCTTTGTCCGCATCAAAGAAACTCCTTCTGAACAGGAAAGCACAGTCTTCCTTCTGACTGAAAACGGGGAGCGGGCCTACACCATTAACCATGAGGCCAGCCAACCACCACCCTCCAAAGTCTTTGTCTGTGACAACCCCGAGAGCGTGAAAGAATGCTTCCCCAGTGGTGTGTCCAGCTATGCAGTGTCAGACAGCTCCACTGAGTTCACGCACCAGATCATCGACCAGGCCCTCCAAGGCGTCCCAGGTAAGGCCAGCAGCACCAACGACCCATCTCCAGAATCTTCCATTTTATCATCCAAAAAGGATAGCCGGAGCTCCAACTCTTTGCCAGTCAAGAAAACTGTGCACTTTGAGGCTGACACCTACAAGGACGCTTCCTGCAGTAAGGACCCTCTCTACAGTCAAGACCTTCGCTTTGAAGGGAGCCCGAGAGGGACAAAGGACTCATTGCTGAAGCAGGGTGGGTACATCCTGGCAATTGAAACTGCCGAGGAAAAGCCGAAACAGGAGTCTCCGAAGATTTCAGAAGCAGCCTCTGATGAGTCCCCAGGTGACACCTCTTTGGTGGACGGTAAGATCAATCATTCACAGACTGCCCAGAGTTCTCCCTCCTGGAACGGGGAGCCGGAGGGTGCAGCCAGCCCCGGGGAGGAGAGTCGTCCCCTTTCACATCTCGCGGACAACACTGTTATGGCCGATTCCTTGGAGATCAAGGTCAAGCTGCTGACCGTAGAAGCTATGGGTAAGGAAGACTATTTTGAAGGCATTTCTTTAAAAGCCTCTAAATTTAGCAACGACCTAATAGATTTTGCCTCGACCAGCCAGGCTTTCAAGGCGGTTCCTTCGCCTCATGAGAAAAAAACAGTGGAGGATGAGGTTTTGGAGGATCAGGCTGAGAAACCGGGGAAGAGGAGAAGTAAATCTGCGCACCAGAGGAAAGATTCGGATGAGTCCCCAGAGAGGCCCGACAAGCTTGAACCTCACAAGGACCCCAGGCAAGAAGACCAAGGCTATTCTCTGGCCCCAGGGCAGGCACCTGCGGATAAGAAGCCAGAGGTGTACGAGAAGCCCAAGCGTAAGTCCGCGCGCCGCCGTTGGTGCGAGGACAAAGGGGAGCCTGCGGGCCCGCAGGGGCCGGAAGGAGAGGTGCCCTCCGAGCCGCCGAGCAGCAGCGTCAGCCTGGAGACCCTGCGCAGTCGCAGTGAGGAGGGCCTGGACTTCAAGCCCTCCCCGCCGCTGTCCAAAGTCTCCGTCATTCCCCACGATCTATTCTACTACCCGCACTACGAGGTGCCCCTGGCTGCGGTTTTGGAGGCTTATGTGGAGGGCGCAGAGGATTTGAAAAACGAAGCCCTGGATCTCGAGGAGCCGGAGGGCTATCTGTGTGACGTGGGGGCCAGAGACGAAGCCGAAGAGGTCGCGGTGTCTCGGAGCACCTGCAGCTTCTCGGGGCTGGGCGAGGACGTCCCCGAGGCCAGCGACCCTGCGGCGCCTTGTCCTAAGGGACGTGCGGAGAATGCCAGACCGGCCTTGGAAACCGCTGACCCTTCCCCACCAGAGGACCACCAGCAAGGGGAGGCCGAAGACAGTTCCCCTGTGGAGAGCCAGCAGGTACTTGGTCGCGGGTTCGGGAACCCTGGGCCCTGCACAGGGATGCTGCTCTTCTCCCTCCATAAAATAGGGAAGCAGAAGCTTCCCTCACAGGCAGCCCGGGGCCAGAATTTAAGGAGGCACTCACTCGGGTTCGGGCAAGGACAGGGCTGGCACCCTTCGGCACTGCCCAGATTTTGTACCTCGGGGGCCTCCCTGGCCTCCCCGCAGCCCTGGCCCTCCCCACAAGGGGGCCAGGGGATGGCATGAGGTCATGTTTGAGGGCCAGGGTAGTAGGAGCAGTAATCACTGTCCACGCTACTCGTAGCTACATCTCGTGCACACTCCGCAAGCCTTAGCCCCGCCTCCGGCAGCAGCCTGAGGAAACCAGTGAGCTCACATTTGACTCTGGCCTTGATTTTTGAAGGTTGCCTGTTGATACAGTTATCTGGCTCCTGTGCTTAGAAGTGGGGAACACGCACTTCTGAGTTCTAGCAGCTGGGCACACACTTGGCCACCACTTGGTCCCATCTGCCTGGCCCAGCAGCTCGACCTCCTCCTTCGCTGCCCTCCAGCCAGGCCAGCTTCCCCCTGGCTCTCTGGCACCCCACATTCTGCTCCGCCCGCCTCGTGCTTCACTTGGCGAACACTGACACCTTGCAAAGCCCAGTGCCAATGACACCTCCTCCCAGGAGCCTTCCCAGCCTCTCCCCAGGCAGAACAGTTGCTTTCTCCTCGATAGCCGGTGACACGTGACAGCTCTCTACCCTTCCGCTAGCCTGGTGTGGTGGGTTGTGATTTTCCCTCCCAGCAGAAGAGTGAGCAGTTATTTGTGTATGAATCTTCGGACTCTGGAGAGCAGCCTGGCAAGGCTTGCGGTGGAGAAGCAAAGGTGGCGGGGTTGCGTGATGGCTTGGGGGTGTAAGGCGAACACCTTAGGGTAAATTCAAACACCAAGATCAGGAAGATCCTCTGGCTCACAGCAGGGGAGAGTCAAGCCTGAGGGAGGGGCTGAAAGGTGCTCAGGACAATGAGAAATCCTTGCACCTGGAGGGCTGCCAGAGCAAGGGACACTCTCAGCTTTAAAAGACATGTAGGATTTAGGGGCGCCTGGGTGGCTCAGTCGGTTAAGCGTCTGCCTTCGGCTCAGGTCATGATCCCAGCTGGAGTCCTGGGATCGAGCCCCACATTGGGCTCCTTGCTCAGAGCAGTGAGTCTCCTTCTTGTCTTCCTCTCCCTCTCTGCCTGCTTGTTCTCTCTCTCTCTCTCAAATAAATAAATAAAATCTTAAAAAAAAAAAAAAAAAGACATGTAGGATTTAGATAGGCCAGAAATGGTGGCTTGGTCTGGTGGGTTCGCCAACCCCAGAGAACGCACTGGGTGGAGCAGAATTCTCAGACAGTGGCAGCCTAGAAGTCAGTGTGGCAGGACCAATGCTCTGTCCATCTTTGGATGGAGAAGAGAGTGGGGTAGCTTTGCAGGTGCCATGACCCACCGGCCATCTGCCCCTTTTGCCCCCAGAAAGAAGAACCCAGTCCCGGGCCCCCACCCCCTCCCACCTGCTGTCTACCGACTTGCTGGAAGCCAGCCCAGCCAAACAGGCTCTTCCAGCAGGGGACCCCAAGATCCAGCGGGGTAGATATGGCCCTCAGATCAGGTCTTGGGGTCCCCAGGTTGGGGGGACCGTGACTAGAGTTACAGTAATTCTTGGCACTGTTAAGGAACAGAATATCTTTTAGGACAAAAGAAAGGGGGGTGGGACTGAGTAGGTAGCAGGAAGAAAGACTAAGTTGCATCTCTGCCCATCTGTACTATTTAAAATGGCTTATTAGCAGCTCACTTCCCCTCCCTGGGGCAGACTGAATGCTCCATGCAGAAATGCAGACGTGTCACTTTATTCTCCTCTGCTTTACAAAGAGAAAAGTCATTTTCCACAAGCAGGTGGTGTGGGTGTCTGTGCCCAGCTTGTGGACAGGTGATCTGGGATGTAGCCGGACGAGTCCTGGGCTGGGAATGGAATTGGGGGATGTAGATTTGAACCTACCTTACACCGAGCTAAGCATGAGCCCTTGGGGAGAGAGCTTCCGTTCCTGGGTAAAGTGTGCCACCATTTGCATCTCTGGGCTCTGACCTGCCTCCCCAGGCTCTCGCCCATCCAAGGAGCAGGCACCCCCCGCCCCACTCCCAAGCACACCTGGTCATCAGCCCCCATGTGTAGCCCTAGTAGTCCTGTGGGTGAGCGGGGGGCTGGCTTGTGGCCCAGGATGACAGGTGAGGTCTCAGAGTCTTGCCTCCTGGAAGACAAGACGACACGGGAACATTTCTCCAATACCTGGCCCTCCTTTAAATTAAAGTAAAGAAAAGAAATGGAAAGAAAAGTCTTCCGAACAAGACTAGAACATGGAACCTTTCTTCTTCTAGTCTTTGAAAACAACTCCTCTTCTCTTTTCACGTTTCAGAAAAGGTAGCATTGGCCCATGGATGACGGGGAAAGGACTGGCATTTCAAATTGCTAGAAGCATTTTTAGTTCCTGCAAGGACCTTTGTTCTCCTGGGGTGCATGGGACTGGCCGCTCTAATCCTCACATTCCAACACCTGTTGAGCAGGTTCTTTCAGCCCCTGAAGGGACTCAGAGGTGGCTCTAACAATCCCCAGGCTTCTTGGCTTCTTTTTTTTTTTTTTTTTTTAAGATTTTATTTATTTATTTGACAGAGAGAGAGCACAAGCAGAGGGAGCGGCAGGCAGAGGGAGAGGGAGAAGCAGGCTCCCCGCCGAGCAGGGAGCCCGATGTGGGGCTCGATCCCAGGACCCCGGGATCACGACCTGAGCCGAAGGCAGACGCTTAACTGACTGAGCCCCCCAGGCGCCCCTGCTTCTCGGCTTCTTAATTTCACTCGGGAGCATTGCCGATGGGCTTCACAGTGCCCGGTGTGGACAGTGGTCAAAGAATCTTCCTCATCAAGTAAATGCTAGCTATGTTGCCCTCTGAGCCACCAAAGGCACAGTGAAGCTGTCATTCCAAAGCCATAGGTTTGCATGTTGTGGGTACCTCTCCCAGCTCAGGGGCCCTCTTTGCACCTGGTGGCCCACCTGGCTTCCAGGATTCACTCCTCTGTTTAAACTGGATGATGGTTGTGTGAAGGGTCCCACCATTGCCCACTGTACAGGGCATCCTTCATGGGAAACCCTGTGGAGTAGTGACAGAAGACTGATGATTATTATATCCATTGGACAGACAAGGAGAAGAGGGTTTGAGAAATAAAGTCAGTTGGGTAAGGTAACTAACTCAGCCAGGCTTTGAAAGCAGATCTCAGTGACTCTGAAACCATGCTGTTTTTACAGTCTGTGGCCTTTGCACTCTGCCCAGGGAGCCCGAGCGCGGGTGGGTTTGTCTTCCACGGCAGGCCGTGCTGGAAGGACTCCCCGGGAGGGCCAGAACTGGAGGGGATGCCCTAGCTTCCTGGACTGCGGGTGGAGTGGAGCACTGCCGGGGGGGGGGGGGCGTCACGCCCTGGGCCTCGCAGTATGAAATGCTGACTTGTATTCGGTTGTCTTGTCCTTAAGTCACAGGAATTCGGAAACTCGGGAAACTTAGCAAACTCTTTAGAAGAAAAGGTAATGGGAGAATCGATCAGCAGTAAAAAAAAGGAGAAAAGGAAGCATGTGGGCCACGTAGAAAGTTCAATATTTATAGCACCCGGCACCATCCGATCCTCAGATGACCTAGAAGAAGACCCTGGCGACCACAAAGTCCTCTCCAGGTATTTTGTTACTATCTTCTTACCCTAGAGACCGAGCTAGAGAGTTACTCCCTGAACTCATTCCATTCTTGGTTTCTGATTTGGGCGGGGGCCGGGGGCGGGGGCGGGACACAGAGGGGTGGAACCGGACAGCAAGGGAAACACAGGTTCGTACAAAATTCATCTGGCCGATGGGTCCTTTGCCAGAATCAGAAACAGATTCATGCTCCTCCTCTACACCCGAGCTCCCCCGCCCTGCCCAGACCCGCTCACACGCCGAGCGCTAGATGGGCATGAGGCCTGCCTTCTCCCCACTCCGAGGACCTTTGGGCGGAAGCTGGAAGTGGGCAGCAGAAGCAGGGTTAGGTGTGGGCCGTGGAACGTTACAGACTCGGAAGCTCTGCGGCCGCCCCCCCCCGACAGCCACTGGGTCGAGAGCACGCCCCGCCGTTTACGAGCAGCTCACCGAATTCGAAGGAATGTGCTACGTATGACCTGTCATCACCGTCACACAGGAGCCGGGCATTAATGACGCGGCTTCACGCATGAGCCGGGGTCCAAGGGAGTAAGGATGGTTGATCTATCTCAGAGGAGGAGGAAGTGGGGAGGATGGCGGGCTTTAACTGATGTCCAGGAAGCTGGTCGTGCACATCGGCTCTGTCACTCCCAAGGGCTCCGCGTGAGCCAGATTTGTCCCAGGGAGAACATCCAGCTGCTGAATGGCAGGTCCTGGTTTCTCCTCATCATCCCTCACCGCCACAGTGGTCACTGTTTAACTTGCCCTCATGCGTTCAAGCGTTTCCCGTACGTTCCCTCATTGATGGGCGCGGCAGCTCCCGAGGCAGGTTAGGAGGGACTGTGCATCAGCACGGTGGGCACAGAGGCTTGGGCGGCGCCTCGCAGCCTGGGGGACGGCAGAGCTGGGGTCTCGGACTCAGACCTGTCAGACGCCGTGACCCACATTCTCCCCATGACCCCTCCTTGCCTGCGGTGAGCCACACCGGCTGCAAAAGGGAAATTGTTGAGATCAGCATGTGGGGAGCGAAGCGGGGAGAAGCCAGTGCAGGGGGACCTGGAGGAAGGGCTGGTGGAGGTCCTGCTTTCCGTCTCCCCTCTGCTCTGCCTCTGCACCTACACTACAGGGGACAAAAGGAGACTTTTGGGGGCGCCCAGGTGAGGGGCAAGGCACGATGGAACACTGCCGCCCACGTTGCCCTTGAGTCCAGAGTCCCTCTCCCTGCAGAAACCTGGTCGTGACCGTCCAGCAGACATCCATGGCTTAGCAGGCAGGTGCCCAGGCCCCCGTCTCCTCCACCCCAGCTCAGGCAGGGGCCTCTGGTCGTTTAGTTAAGCTGGCAGTGCTCCGTGACCAGTCACTCTGGGAAGAGGTCAGCCGCAGTGGTGACACGGGCATGGTCCCGGCCCCCAGGGGCTCGGGCAAGCGGAGGGAAGGCGCACCATGTTGTTTGAGCTCTGCACGGAGGGATCTCAGCGTTTGGATTTGGGAGCGGGAGAGAAGGCATCCCGGGTGGAAGGGACAGCCTGAGCAAACAGCAGGCAAACAGGACACGTTGGCTGGATGTGAGGGGGTCGGGGAGAAGCAGGGGGAGCGTTGGGGGATTGAGCATCTTGGACACCAGCTGCATCCAGCCAGCCGTGCCTGCCAAACCCGTCCCCATGCAGATGAGACAAAGCCGGTAAATGTTGAAAAGGGAGCGTCATCTTGGTGTGTGTGGGAAGGAGGCCCAGTTGACTTTTCCCATCCAACCGATCTGCACACGGATCTGTGGGGAGCGGGCAGCATCACCCCTCTCGCAGCTCCTTTCCGGGCTCATCCATGTCCCCTCTTGGTCACCTCTGCCCTCCTCCCTAGCCTGCCTCGCCCCTTGGCCTTCGTTGAGATCCCTGAATGCCCCCCAAGCTCCTTTGCCTTTGAGGACCCTCTGTCCCTTGCCCGTTCCCTGTCTTGCTTCGCTGGGTTTCAGCTCCACTCCCACTTCCTCCAGGCACCCTTCTTGGATTCCTGCGGGCTATTTTTAATCCCCCTCTGTGCGTGCTCACAGTCCTGCTCTTTTCTTCACAGCATTTCTCAAAACAGTTCATTTCTCTGATCATTTGTGTAAGGCTGTCTTTATCATTGACTGTCCCCCAAGTTGGTGAGGCAGCTCCCTGGAGGCAGGGAGGGCGCAGCCCTGGCATTTAGCACCACCCCCAGCTCGCAGCCGGCCTTTAACAAAAACACTTTGGGTGGATGAATAAATGAATGAAGCGCTCTCTCAGGCTGTGGTGGGTGGGCTCCTGAGGAGCCGGGCCCTCAGCGCCGGGCCCAGTGCCTGGCACACAGTCTCAGAGAATGAGATTCAGGAGGGGCACCTGGATAAGTCTCCTGCAGATGGTCCTAGAACACAGAAACCACCCACAAGGAAGTACGCCGAAAAAGAGAGGGCGGGAGGAGAACAGGAGCCCTTCCTGATGTGGATGTGCTTTTTAACTAGAAAGTACTATAAGCAGGTGGGGCTTACCCGCGTCTCCAGGTACCCCCCGGGAATTGGCACAGTGTTGGGTCCCACACACCTGAGGCTCTGTTTCCTTTGTGGTGCATTTTGTCTGTTTGTTTCTGTGCTGTGATACCTGCCAGGAAAACTAGCCCAGGCTCTGGACTGAGGGCAAGGACTGACGCTTCCCTGGGCTGCACCCAGCGCCTGGCACATAGTAGGAACTCAATACCTGTTAGCTGGAAACATGCCCAATGCACGGGAAGAGGTTGGTGACGTTGCGGGACAGCAGTGGGCAGGAATACCAAGGCTGCCCAGGATGAATTCCCTGGGAATAAACTCTTGGGTCAGATGCCTTTTTCTTGGATCCCCAGATGCCGCATGGTTAGGTCTGCCTTAAGGAAACTGAGATGACTGTCTCTGACACCCAACACCTCGTTCTCCTGTTGAGCGGCAAGACAGGGCCCTTGGGACCTGGAGTATACTGTTCTTACCGCCAGCGCCGCAGCTCCATGAAGTAGTCGGGGTAGGAAGGATGACCCATTTTACAGATGAGGAAAACTGATCAGAGACATAAAATAAGTGGCTCAGGTGGCCAGTTAATCAGGAGCCCAGGCTCCTGGCTGGGTATCTTTTGCCTCAGCCCTACATGAACCAGCTTTAGTAGATGACCAGAGGTACGTTCCCCATCAGCCTCAAAGATATGGTCAGAAAATTAGCTTCCTCATGCGGGAAAGGGAAAGAGGTGCCACACCCAAGAGACAGTCAGACGGCAGCATCATGCACAGAAAGGAGCACTAGAAAGGGAGTCCGGATAGCCGGCCTTAGCCCAGATCTGATATTAGCGTGCAGAGGACCTCCAGCAATTCCCGGATCTTGAGATGCTTGGAGAAGGACCTCCCTTCCTTCCCTGAAACCCTGAGACTTTGAAAAATATGTGGTCTGCTTTCAATTTAAAATTCTTCCTCAGTTTGTTTGTTTTTTTTTTCCCTTGTAGACGAGGCCATAGTGTGTCTCTAATACCCATCCCGTTATTTGTAAGCACACCCCAACCCAACGGGGCATACTGAATAAAATTTCTCCTTTCCGTTGCTGGGTCTGAAATCATAGCTTGCCTAGATCCGCATGTGGAGGACTCGGGATGGGGGTGACTGTACAGCTGAGCCACAAAGAGCTCTTGGTGGCAACCAATTTAAAACATGTGTTTGTTTTTCAGAACTAGTCACAGTGACTCCAGCATTTACATTCGACGACATACTAACAGGTCTTTGGAATCGGTTAGTATGTGAATTTCTTCTTCTTCTGCATGGCCCCTGCTAATCAGTTCATTTCCATCCTTCCTCCTCCTCAGCCCAGAGCTTTGAAATTACCGATGTGCAACAAATATACTTTTGGATAGAAGACAAGCAAATTCAAACCTTGTCGTTAAGCGTAGTCCGATTAGATGTCCAATTTGGGCAGTAGGGGATGTAAATAAATAAAGCGATGATCATAAAGCCCAAAGGCCTCTTTGTCGTAAAAAAAAAAAATGCACCCAAGACCCCCAACCCCACCCCAGCACACACACCCAGAAAGACTGCCCTCAAAGACAACAGTGCAACACTTAAATTAGCAGCTACTTAAGTAGCGCTGGGTGTGTTGGGACCCAAAGCACCGTGGTCCTCAACCTGATTCGGGTGGTAGGTGGTGACGCCTCTCTGGTTCACCAGGTGGGGGTTGGGGGGAGAGGGTAGAATACTGTAGATTATTAGTTTGATTTGGGAAACTAAATGTTTGCAATGTTGAGAAAAGCGCGGCATGCTCGGCTTTGTATGTTTAAAATCATTTTATTTTCTGTTTCAGAGATTTCATCTTTACTAATTGGGTTGCGGGGGTTTTGTTTATAAATTTCACTGTAGGATCATTTTAGCTATGTTCAATCAAGGAACGCAGCAGATCTGGATGACAGAAGAAACCGAACGTTAACCAGGTCGGTGGCTTTCCTCTCAGGTTTTATGGGGTTTATATATCTATATATCTAGATATATATAGATATATATCTATATATCTATATATATCTTTTTCTTTTTTAATTACGCGGTCTTATGGGGGTGGCTCTTCTCCAACTGTCCTTGGTTGATGGCTGTAGTAATTGTCTGCGATCGGGCAAGGAGATCCCTGCTCCAGAGCAAACGCATGGAAACTGAATATAAGCAGGAGGGAGAGTGGAAATTAATGGATGGGGGGGTGGGGGGGGGGGGGGGGGGGGGCATGGTTCAGAAAATGCTTCCGCTTAAAGCCGGATTCGGGTCATGAGCCTGCAGCTGCCTTTTACACCATGCGGGGGTAGAGCCGGGCGGGAGAGATGTGATGCTGGGTGTGGTCTCCATGCGGTCGCCCCTGACCCCGTGTTTCGTTCTGTGTCACCACTGCAGGTACGATACTCAGAAGCTCACTGAGCTGATTTTACAGTTTTATGGCATCAGGGCAGACATGAAGAGGGAGTGCAAACACGCCAGGATGTCCATGAAAGTATTTCTTGCTGTTCGAGAACTAGATGGCCTAGTCTGATCCTGCTGAATCGCTATACTGCTGAATCTCAGCCCATGTAGAACACAGAAGCCCAGAGAAATCCCACAAACTCTGACAATCCTGAGATGCCCCTGTCCCTGTTAAAGTTACCGCATCCCTTAATTGTCTTGATTTTTTTTGTTTTTTAAATATTTGCCACGTGTTTCAGTTGGCTTGGAAGGACTTAGATTTTTGGAGTGGAAAATCCTCTCTGAATATTGCCCAACACCCGCGAGTGGGATCCCTAGAAGCCCGCCCCTCTGGCTTTTAAGAAAGACGCAAGACCTGTTTCCCTCCCCTGCCATAAAATGGAACTATTAATTCACATTGTCCACCAGGCGTGATGGACTCCCTAGGAAAGTAGCGCTTTTCACTTTTATGGGATCGAGACTTTGACAATTTAAACTAGAAGGTTGAGAAATGCAGTCATGCTCTGTAAAAAACAGCGTTTAAATTTTAAAAAGAAAGTTTTCAGAAAGAAAAATTCTGTCCATTGTCATACGCGAGTCAGTGTCTAGACCAAAAGGCAAACGTTTAATTCCCTGTTGGCCTCGCCTCTGTCTGCATCAGGAGACGATTCAGGGATGAGGTCGTCTCCACCGCACACCGCACACCAGATAACCCTAAGAAGCTTACACTCTAGGCTTCTATAAATGCAGCTTTAAGCAGAGGCCCCCAGCCCCTTTCCAATCAGATGATGCCCCCAACCCCTTCCTTGGTGGGAATTGGGAGCTGAGGTTGGTCACCACCACGCAGACCCTTCTGGGCTTTCTCCACCAAGCCAAAGCAAAATGTCACCTTGACACCACCTTCTGTAACACAAAAGAAGAAAGAGAAGTCTGACCAAAGTCAAATCTAGTCATTATCTTCAAGGTTCTGTTCCAAAGCCAAAAAACAGAAGCTTGGGGGTGGGGGTGGGGGGGCAGGGCATGCCTCTGTCTCTGTTTTTTAAATGATCTGCAATCAGGGAACTCTGTTCCTTCAGATGACTTATGACGTCCCCTCTGTTAGTGACAGATAGCAGAGTGCCGTCAGTATCCAGCTCTGCGTTAAGGACACTGTGGCATAAAGGAAGGTGTCCTGGACCGGGGATGGGGGGGCGGGGTTAGTCATTGTGTGGCCTTGAGCGAGCAAGCCACTGCACCCCGTGAGTCTCAGTATGCCCATCTGCAGAATGGGGCTGACCGCTTTGCCCTCCTAGGGTTGTGCGGATGAACTGAGCTCATATGAAAGCGCAGAGCTCTCCCGGGACCCTGGCCGTCCCCTTGGGTCGGCACATGCCCTGCAGGGCCTCTTGACCGGCTGGCTGGGAAGCCCTCAGCTCTCCAGTTGGGCAGTGAGGTTACGGGGGGGGCGCGGGGGCCATCCGCCCTGGGGACCCACTTGTAACTGCCTTGCCTGTGTCTTCCCTCCTGCAGGAAGGCCAACAACTCTGGTGAAGCCACGTTGCTGGAGAGCCAGAGCCCCCAGAGCGACTCTCTGACGCAGTTTGTCCAGCAGCCGGATATGATGTATTTTATTCTCTTCCTCTGGCTCCTGGTTTACTGCCTGTTGCTGTTCCCGCAGCTGGACGTCAACAGACTCTGAGGCGCATGTCTGCATAATAAAAACGACAGGCCCCTGACCAGGGGGCGGGAGCTCTTTCTACTTCACTTTATTCGGGTGCGGAGGGGGGCACCTGTGCAGACGGTGGAGGGCCTCAGGGAAAACAGCCCTCTCTCCCCGCTTCTCCACCTTTCCTTTCTGTCCTGTAAGTGCTGAGCATGCTTTTCCCTTCGGCTGTGTCCTCGACACTCAGGTGTGTGTTTGGCTGGATCGTTAGGTGGAGTTTGTTCCTGCGGGCCTTGCTTTGTCAGGTATGAAGCACCCTTGCTATTATTTAGCCATAATCTGGCTCGTAGCTCGTCCCCCGTGCAGGTTTTTAAGGTCCGGATGGACTCGATTGAGCTGCCTCTCGGAGGAGGGTCCTCCTGATGGGAAAGAGGGGCGATGCCCCACACAGGACCTCCACTGGGAAGAAAGCTGCCCCGTGTTCCTCCCCGGGGGGGGGGGGTTTGAGTGAAGGTGCTGGGTGTCCGTGCACCTGTCGTGTGGTCCGCGGTTGGTTATATCCGAGGGGCGCAGAGCTGCCGGCTCCAGGAGCCCACGTCCTGGAACGGCAAACCCGAGGAGGAAAGTGGGGGCTGTGTAGTGAGCTGCGGTGCACTTTCTGTCACCCTAGTTTTGGGGAGGGGAGGATGGAAATTCAGTTTTGCGTTGATTGGATTGAGGTTAAAGCTGTGATTTGCAAATGTTTTCCACCCGTGTCTTAGCCAGGGGAGAATCTAGATGGTACAGTAAAAGCCTCTGTGCTGATCTCCAGGGCTCCAGAGGGCACTGCCCAAGGCTCCTTAAAAGCCAGGAGGAGGAGTGCAGGAGTGGCTGGGCTCAGAATAAGTTCTGGCTCACACTGGAGCTGGGACGTCAGCATGGGCATCCTTTGTGGTCAGTCATAATGGGATTCTTTTTTTTCTTTTAAGATTTATTTACTTGAGAGAGAATGAGAGAGAGCACGAGGGGGGGAGGGTCAGAGGGAGAAGCAGACCCCCGCTGAGCAGGGAGCCCGATGTGGGACTCGATCCCGGGACTCCAGGATCATGACCTGAGCCGAAGGCAGACGCTTAACCAACTGAGCCACCCAAGTGCCCCCATAATGGGATTCTTGAGTAGACTTTTCTGGAAGGTACCCCGAGAAGTAGACCAGAGCAGACAGTTTGTGGGGAGACCTCCAGGCACCCTCCCATCTTCCTTCTGCCCTGTGCCACCCCCCCCCCCCCTTTCCCCCCAAGATGCAGGCCCTAGGGCCCTGGTATTGCTTCTAACTCCCATTGCCCTGCCCCTCCAAGCCTTACTCAAAAAATCACAAACCAGTAGGTCAGGAGGGGCCCTCAGACAGCCTCTGGGTCTGCCGAACCCAGAGAGGCAGAGCGGGTGGACCAAGGTCACACAGCCAACCAGGAACAGACTTGCAAAGGCACCCGTGCTGCCTGATGCCTGGTCCAGGGCTGTCCCCTCTTTAACGAAACTTGTGTTGGGCCCGTGAGTGTCCTGGGGGGGGGAAATAAAAAAGGTTAAATGATTAGATAAAAATGTCCTCATTGAAACAAAACCAAAATTTGGGGCCAGCTACAACCTTTGCTTTGCGCTCGTAAAGCATTCGCTTTCACGCTTGTCCCCTGTGACCTCTGGAGTGCCCTTGACCGCTGGGACAGCTCGGCCGCTGGTAATTGCTTCTGCTCCAGAACCCACGGCTCTCTCGGAGCAAGCCGAGAGGTGTGCTTATTTCAGGCAGTGGGTTTCAAGTTTACAGAATTCCAGCATGGCCAAAAGAATTTACATAGCACATTTGAATCGATGACAACCCAAATCCCACTCTGGTTATAGCCTGCCTTCTCTCCTTCTTGGTTCTTAGAACAAATCTGAGCCTTCCAAGTGGAAAGCTGTCGGGAGCTTGGAGCGGTTCCATCTTGAAGGCCAAACGTCCCGGGGAGAATGGGCTAATTAGTGAGTTCCCTGGCATCATTGAAGGCTCAGGGGTACAGAGAGTAAAGATGACGTGTGTGATATTTTATAACCCCGGACACCACGTGGTCTTTGCCTAGACTAGATGCTGGAAGAGCCAGGGAGGAGCCGACCGAAAACACGCGTCATCTCATTTTACGGGGCTAGACCTTGTTCAGAAAAATCTCTGCAGGCTGTTTCTCTCACCCATTACAACGTGTAATATTGTTTAAAACCACCCAGTGGCAAGATGCCTAAAAATCTTTTGGTTCCGGTTGGCTGTAAACAGATTTCTTCTTTAAAGGCAAAAAAAATTCCCAGTGGAGAATAGGCTTCTATGGAAGAGGAAGTTGGATATACAAGGTGGATGGAGAAGCCTACAGGACAGACCACCCAATGGCTTTGAATTTTTTTTTTTTAAGAATTGATTTTTAATTCTTATCCAAGTCATACATATTCATAGTTTATGAAGAAACAAGTACCATATGGCTTTTAATGAAAACTAGCAGTCCCCTAGGTCTGGTTTCCCTAGAAGCAACACTATCAATCCCTTTCGCTATGGCTTGTTATTTACCTTTGCAGTTGCAAGGTAACACGCTTACACTTATGTTCCTTTTTTAAATTAGAAACACCTGCAACTTGCTGTTCTGGTAGATGGGGGTCTCGCCCTTCTCCATCCTCCACTTTTTTCCCCTGGTGTGTTTACATCACATTATTTCATGCACGTCTATTCAGTGTAGGTGCAGAAGGACCGTTCACGCCTGAGCCAAGTAGTGTGCTATGGTAACACGCCCTTTCTTGCCCAAAATTTCCCCCTTGGTTTGCTCATCTTTGTTTTTTGGAGTTGTTTTATTTTTTTGTTTGTTTTTATTTTTTAGTGTGGCACGTTCTTGAGTAACTTCCTGAGGAAAGTAACGTGGGAAGTAAATCTTGTAAATTTCTTGAGCTTTTGCATACCTTAAAATGTCTCCATTCTGCCTGTCCCTGAGTGTAGCTGGGTATAGGATTGCTGGTGGAGGGTAACTCCCTCCTCCTGCTCCCCAGCCTAGTTGTTGAGACTTCTGGCACCATCCAGATTCCCAAGCCTCTAGATGTGACTTGGGTTTCTCCCCACCTCCCCCGAAGCATTCAAGATCCCTTCCTTCTTAGTGTTCCGAGCTATCCTGATGCTACTGTGTCCTCCGTGGTATGAAGGTCATGCTGGGTTCTCATGGGAAACTTCGTAAATGTTCTTATAATGGTTCACATCCTTTCTTTCTGAGCCACCTGTTATTTCAGTGTTGGACCTTCCAGCCTACAATCCTTTAATATTTCTTTATCTTTTCTATGTGTAATCTTTTTATTTTGGGGATCACATCTCAGGGAGAGGTCTTCAGCTTTATCTTCTCGCATACCTGATGGATGTTTAATGCTTAATTTTTCCAGAATAGTTTGTTACTGTTCTCTTGTTCCTGTTTTATCATGTCCTGTTCTTGTTTCATGGATGCAGCTCTTCTCTCCCTGTGGCTGTTCATGAACGTGGCTTCGGGGAAGTTCTTTTCTGCTCCCCGTACTGGCTTTGTCTCCTCTAAGTGTCCTTTCTCTTGGTTAGTCTCAGGCTCTTTCACGTTGACGGCTGGTGGTTCTGTGGATCTGTTCATATTGAAGAGTGATCCATCAGAAAACAAATTGGAAGCTCTGTGTATCAACCAGTGGGCTTTTCTGTAGGGTCACCCCACGTATCAATTGCAGGTCTTTTCTCTAGGACTCATTGTGTTTCTTTCGAGATATTTTCACTTCTCTCCTGCCTGGGAAAGAGGGACATCGATAGAGCTGCTACTGGCCGATGCAGTGTCCTCATGCAATTTCCAAGAAAAGGCATTCGCTCTGGGTGGCTCACTTAGAGAAAGACACTGCCTCTGGGCAGAAGCCACCCATAGGCACTTGGCTTGACTGGCAGATGGCATCTCCTGCCCCTTTCTCCAGCACCTTTAGCCAAGCACCTTTGTGCAGTGCGGAGACTGTAGAGCCGTACCCGGAGGTCCTAGCACCTGTGAGTGCTCGTGTCCTGACCCAAGCGGGCAGGTTCATCACGGTCAGTACTTAGACTTGTTGAATTGCCCCTGCCTTGCTGTGCCCGGCGTCCCCGGGGTGGAGCTCCTCTGACTCCCCCGTGGAGGAGGACCGCAGCCGCTCCGTGGCGTGCCTCTGCCAGTGTGTGGTGGTCAGATCCTCTGCCCGCTCAACTTCTCCGGCAGCTCTGCCCTGCTACACATGGGCTGGCATCTCTTGCCTACTCTCATCCCCTCCTACCCCGTTGTCTTCCTTCCTTTGCTCCTGTTTTCATGGGCTTTCACGAGAGCTGAAAGGAGCCCATGTGGTCAGCACACCATCTTGAACCGCAGATCCCACTTGAGCCTGCTCACCACTTGGCTGGGTGGCTCGCTGCTCTGTGCGCCTGTCTGTGAGCCCGCCCTGAGTCTATCTGGGGCCGTGGCAGCAACCATCCTGCCGAGCTGGGGCCGGGTGCCTTTGCATCATTCCGAGCCGGAGGGGGTTGAAAGGCATGCGGAAGCTCGGCTGGAAGGCCCCACGTGCGAAGTGATCCTCCTTCCTCTCCTCTCTGGTCACCCCCTGCCCCCAGACAGTTGCATCTCCCACCTCCCCACAAGCTCTAGTCTGAGGTGTCCTGCAGTTTCCAGGTTTCCCTCACCACCCTCGCTTCATGTAGGAAATAAACAGTCCACACTCGTGTCTGCTAACCAACAGGGTCTTCTCTCTCTGCTGGGCAGCTTCGTGGAACTTGGTGAGCATCGCTTCCTGTGCTGGCCGGAGCTGGCCTCTGCAGGGGGACAGGTTCCCGCCAGGACTTGGAGCCCTCACTGCCCAGGACAGCCACCCGGACACATGGTGCTGCTCCATTTCTGGGGTGCAGCAAATTTCCACCAGCGCTCTCCCCGCCCGCACAGTGCGTGCCTGCTCCTTGGAAGGCCAGAGCGTATTAGAAAGCAGAAGCGTTTAGTGGCTGCCTCTTCGGGCAATCTTTATAAGTCATAGAATATTCGATAGCCTTAGGGATCTCATAAGGGTCTATCACTTCGTCTGAGCAACAAAAACACTGA